TTTTGAAGAGGTAGGAGCGGGTGTGGGGAACAGGCGTGTACTTAAGTAGCTAAATGCAGGCATGGTGGGTGTGTACTCTCAGGGAAGAATCAACAGAGCATTTCAGGGTACGAGGAGGGGGAAGGAAAGCATATCTGTTTACTGGAAATTAGGAAAAGCTGTTTGAAAGAGGGAGCCTCAGAAGATGCTATAACCAACAATACTGTCATTCTAATAATAATAACAATGTCATTATTATCATCATCATTACAGCAACTAACATCTACTGAGTGTTTACTACGAGCTAGGCACCCGAGAAGCACTTGACATAGCTTACCCCCTCAATCCTCATGCCCATTTGACAGATAAGGAAACTGAGGCTTAGAAGTGTTACGAAAACTAGGAAGTGTCAGCACCCAGCTTAGAACCCAAGTCTATGCGTCTCCAAAGGCCACCACCCCTCCTCAGCAGGCTGGAGTGAGAGAGCTCATTCCTGGTCAGGTCTGAGCAGAGAGAGGCAGAGGGTAGGAAGTATCAGGCTTGGACAACCATCTGGAGAGGGTGCCTGGAGAGGTAGCTGCAGCCCTTGGGGACCAGTGCCAGACACCTGTCCTCATCAACAGGCCATGGAGAGGCCCAGAAGGTCAGATACGCTGGGCCTGATCCGCAGGATTGATGGTAAAAGGATGGGGGCTGAGAAAATGGAAAGGAAGAGGCCATCACCAGTCTAGGTGAGAGACTGCAGCTGGACAAGGTGAGAGGGTGCACGGGAACCTGCGAGCTCGTGCCTGTGTGTCAGGGCTGGAAGATTATGTATGTGTGAGAAAGGGAGAGTGAGTGCAGGGCGGTTCCTGTCGAAGAAGGAAGTTCCGGAGCTTTCCTGGTGGGAAGTGTGAGTGGGGTCAGCGGGGAGAGAGGCGGGGAGAGGACAAATCAATGATCTACCTGAGCGGGAGAGTTCCGGTGAATGAAACCATCATTTCACAGCTCTGTGTGGGCCCTAAGAAGCCCACAAGAGCCTGGCATAGGGGAGGGACTCAATTAGCACTTGTTAAAGGCAGGTATGTATGAATTAAGACCTTGTCTCAGGTCTCTTCCAAGGCCTGGCTTTGCACTCCAGCTATGTGGGGAGTCACTGTCGTTCCAACCAGATCCTACGTCATCCCTGGCCTCACATCAGATATTTTGAGCTGAAGCAGCCACGCTCCCATGGCCCCAGCCCCAATCCTGAGCCTCCGGCTCCCCCACGTATCTTTGTAACAAGTGTGTTCCTGTGTGGGCTCCAAGCTGACTTCATACTTTCCCAGGTCAGAGTCCCCCCTCCTCCCTCCCATTCCAGAGAAAAGAAGATGGTTCTATGCTTTCGTCTCGGCCAGAGATCTTCTTCTTCTCATCCGGGACAGAAAGCCCTGGCCAGCACCTCCAGCTGGCCCAGGGCTCTTCCTCCGAAGGATTTCACAGACGCACAAACGATGGCCCTGGACCCTGTTCTCTCCAGAGACCACGTCTCCCAAGACTCCACCTCGCCCCAGTTTCCACCCTAGCAGAACAGACCAGAGAGACACAGAGCTCAGGAGGCGCTAGCAGCCGAAGCCTGAGAGAAGTAAACCCAGTCTCGGTTTCCATAACTTAAAGGGGTGAGAGGGGAGGCCTTCTCCCCAGGAACCAGACACCAGCCTCTTTCCTGCTCAGCTCAGCCGCAACCCCGTGTTATGAAATCATGAGTGCAGTTTGGCTCCTGGAGAGAAAAGGGATCTCTTTCAAGACTGTACAAAAATTTAGAGGAAGAAATGGCTGCTTTCATGTACCTAGATGTTTAATCAAGTTTTATTTATAATAATTAAAAGTTGGAAACCTTAAAGGACTCTGTAGGGTCATGATTAAGTAAAATATTATAATACATGTCATGTTATTCCACACTACGAATAATTAAATTCCACATTATGAAATCGGAAAGACATATTCTTAAGTTGTATGAAGAAAATAAAAAATAAGAACATAAAATCTCACAGGCTTTCAGTTGGAAGACTTTCACCAGACAGCCAGTTTGCTTCCAAAGTGACATCTGTGGGATGAATGCACTTGCCCCTGGGGCGCAGCCAGGACTAGAACCTGAGTCTGCACCTCCGGGATCATTGCCTTTATGCTGCCGGGTCTCTGTCCCCAGTGGCTGCGGCTGTCATGACTGGTTTGCTTCCTCCAAGGCGCCTGGGCAGAAGCTAGTGGGTGATTTGTTAGACAGGGAGTCCTGGGGGCTGCCTGGCACAGTCTGCCACCCAGATGGCAGCCAGCTAGGTCCAACAGGGCCGGGCTCTGACTTAGGGGGCATCTGGTGGGCTGGCTTCCTGTGACTGTGGGGAGTTCCCAGGGTCTAGGGAACTGCTCCTCCTCACCCTCTCCTCCAAGGAAATAAAATGGAGCGGGCTCCTCAGCCACTGGGGCACCCACACTTTGGAAGGGACATCCCAGTCCCCAGAGGATTGCTGGCAATAGAGAAAAAACAGCAAGAGAAGTGGGAGTGTGGGGTCACAAGTCCTGGCTAAAGAGTCAGAGGCCTCAGCCACTGCGGGGTGGTGGGACCTCTGAGCCTGTTTCCCCATTTATGTGATGTCCTGATCAGAAGTTCCCCTTTCAGCTCTGAGAAATCTAGGATTCTGAGGTCAGGAACTACGTCTTCCACCTCACCCACAAGACCCTAGCAATTAACACGTAGTAGGCAATTTAAGCAGTTCACTGAATGACTGAGTGAAATGGGTCCTCGGCAGGTGGTCAGGAAGGAGACCCTTGCCTCTGGTGTCTACCACCAGACCCCCAGAGCAGCTACAGGTCTTGGGAAAGCCCTGGCAATCCACGAGCCCTTGCCAACCTGCTTCCTCTCCTAGAAGCACAGATGTGCTTGGAGGAGCCAAAGAGGATGCAGGGAAGTGTTCCTGGGGGAGAGAGGGTAGCCTGGACCCCCTCCCCCGCATCGTCCCACCTACTTCCTAAACTCACCTGTCCCTCTCCTCTCTGCCCTCCTCCCGGCGTTGTCCCCTCTCCTTGCCCCTCTCCTGCCCTCCAAGCACAGTCACGACCTTTCCTCCCTCCTTTGCGGAGGCTTGAAGCCTTCTGCTGGCTCCTGAGCTGCCTGATCCTCCGTTAGGAAGGAAGACTCCTTAGGACAGGCCAGGAGCCCTGGGCGTCCTCAGGGTCAAGGCAGGTAGAAAGCAGCCGTGGAGAGATTTGAATTCTGGCCCATGCCCAGCCTCTTGAGTCTACGGTGCCCAGGAGACGGGTCCTCTCTGAGGGAATCTGGACACGCATTTCTCTCCACCTTTTTCTGCAGGATTCCTGGGAAGATGTTTCCATCTGGCCTTCCTGAGCCTTCCCCTGCACAGAGTAGGTGAGGCAGGAAGCTGCCCTCTGTCTTCCAGCTGGAGACCTATTTAGAAGTCGTGTGTGTGTATATCTGTGTGTGTTGGGGGAAGCAATGGTACATGTTATTGTTGGTGTATGCGAAAGCACACATAGTGCGTTGGTAGGGCGTACGTGTAGCATTGTGAGTGGTGTGTTGTGGTGTGGTATATATATGGTGTATTTGGTGTGTATATGGTGTGTATGTGGTATGAGATATGTGTATGTATAGTGTGTTTATGTAGTGTGTGTGGCAAGTAGGATGTGTGATGTGTGTGTATGTGTGTAGTGTGGCAAGTGTATACATGTTTGGCGTGTGTCTGTGACACGTGCTGTGTTTTGGAGGGCCTGCAGTGGGTAGGGGCCACATCAGTTTGAGGTGGGAGCTAGCTCTCAAGGGTCTCCTACCCAGAGAAGTCAGGGCTAACCAGTATCTAGGCAACCATGTTGGGGGGAGGGGAGGAGATCTAGAGGTGAGGAATGGGCAGGAAAAGGAGGGAGGCTAAGAATTGAAGAGGAGTTTCCATGGCAACTACCAGGAAGGTCACGTGAAAAAGGCTAAGTTGCGGAAACAGATATACACATCCACACATACACAATATGAGGGCGCTGGGCCCCCAGAATGGGGTCCATTCACAGAGGGCATGGGGACCATTGGTCCATCTCCAAACCTGGAAATCTGGGCCCAGCCAGCCAGCCAGAGCCAAGGAGACAAAGGAAGTGGAGACAGAGGCCACGTTCATGGGGAGAAGCCTTGGCAGCCACAGCCTCCCATGTCTGGAGGTTGGCAGCAGGGGCTTGGCCAGGCCCACTTCTCCAGGGTGACTGCTCCCACCCTCAGGTGCTTTCTCTACCAGCCACCACTTGTAAGAGCCCAGAAGCAAGTGCCAGAAGCCCCAGGCTGCTCTTCCAACTTACCCGGGAAGCCCAAGAGACACAATGGGGGCAGCCCTGCCAGGGCCAGCCCTGCTGGGGAAAGAGGGCTGGGCACCAGGAAAAGGGGGGGTCATGGTGCACTGGAATAAAACAGGACTGGATAGACAAGAGGAGAAGAAAATTGACGCAGACATTCTCATGAACCCCACACCCTGGAACCCCAGCCCTTCTTTACCTGCCCCCCTCCCCATGCTCACAGCCCAGCTCCAGCTCCCCCTGCCCCCCAGGCGCCAAGCCTGCAAGTTCCATTTTGTGTTGGTCATGTGTGCACACTCACAGCCAGCCACCTCCCCGTCTTCACATCAGCACACTCCACTCAAGTGGCCACAGCTTCCAAGTAACAAAGGGAAAACTCTCCCTAGATACAGTGGGGAGCAGCCCTTTCCTCTTTTCCTGAAACCATTGCCCCAAGCTCCAGGCAGCAGCAAGCGCCTTTCCAGAACAGCTTCGCCCCCATCGCCACGGCCTGCCTCCCCTCGGAGGCCCCTCTTCTCTTCCGACGCCCACCTCCTGGTTTCCATCCCCAACCTGGTTTTCGCTGCCCAAGCGGCGGCCGCCTGGGGAGGACCGCTCACACCCACCGAGAAAAACAAAACGCGGCGGCATCCCGGCGCCTCGCGATCGGTCCCCATCCCAGCCTCTCTCCCTCTTCGGAAGAAGAACCCAACTTCGCCACCTCCGCAGCCGCTTACCTGCACGGCGCGGTCCCTCCGAGACAATCTAGGAGGACGTGCCCAGTCCGGAGGAGCCTGGGAGTGGCGGGGCTGGGGGCAGGGGCGGTGGGCGAGGCTTTCGCCTTTTTTCCCGCCTCCCTGGCTGGGAAGGGGTGGGGCGG